AATACCCCTGCCATAGGGATATGATGGGCCTCTTGAAATGGTGAACTGTTCCTTATCTACCTCTTGTGTTCAGTTATCTTCCCATCTCCTCACCTCTGTTTGCCCCTTTTGGATCACATGTGCCAGGCGTGTGTGCAGAAAGCTGCCTCTCTGCTCCAGATGGCCTAGACCTGTAACTGTCTTTTCCTTTGTTACACAAAAACCATGTGCACTTCTTCATGAGAGGTCATCTATTGCTGTATAAAATCATTTATGCTCTGGCGAGTGTGTAAAAGACCTAGCTACACTGATGTCCTTCTGAGACTTGCAGAATCATGGAACAGGATAAAACTGCCAACAACCTCACTTGGGACATTGTAGACAGGCTGTTTTGTGTTGTGTTTTTTTTCTTGCTGTGAGTAGTGGGAAGGCTACAATCGCTTCTTGGGGGAGCTCAGTTGGGGTGATCCTGGTGGTGACAGCTTGAGGGGGAACATGTAGGACTGCAGGTCAGGATAAATGGGTACAATTGTCAGTGATTTGGAGGACTTCAAGGATGCTCTTTGTATGTCCGGATGCTGAGTGGTTGAGATCAAAGTCCATTCAGCTTGCGGGCTGCTTACTGGAGTGGGCAGCAAACGGCTGGCGAGGAGAGCATGCAGCAAGTCTTTGCCTGAATAATTTCCTCAGCCTCATAACTTGACGTTGATAGACTTCCTGAGCCAGGTTTGCCATCTTTGTATTTAATAAACTTCTGTGGGCACTATTTTGACTCTTTTTGTGTGTGTGAAGATGCAAACTCCTTTTAAAATTCTAAACACAGGAATGAATTATATCCTGCCTGGAGATATTTTTAATTTTCTCTGAACTTTTCCACTTGTGCAGTGGTTCACAGGGATCACAGCCATATGATTAGCCAAGGCTGCTCCTGCTTCATGTTGGTCTAATTATCTGTTCATTAGAATCTTGAGTCTTGAGCTCAGGCTGTGTAGGGTGTCTTTGTTTAAAGTGCAGTCTCCTAATGCAAATATTAAGAGAGAGCTTTCTGGCTTGCCTGAGTCAGACTGACAAGCTAATAATAGCCTTCATGTTAGTCTTGGCTAACAGAGAGCATCAGTATAAAAAGGTTTTACAGGGCTGGTATATCAATCAAATCGTGGCACATAATATGCATTTGTGTATTCTGCTTGTTTTAACACTTAAGCTTCCATTAAGAAATATTTTCTGAATGCAAAGGGCATGGGAGTAAAAATTTCTTCCTTTAAATATACCATTACATCCACTAGAGATTTCAAATCAATCTTAGGTGGCCTCCAATTAATAGAATGCCATAATACAAACCTGTTTTCAATAGCTGTAGCCTTGTTCAAGAAACTATTCTGAAGTTTATAGGTAATGTGTCAGAGCAGTGAGTCAGATGGCTTAAAAACTGGTATATTGAATGTGTGGGGGAGTTGTGAGGATGGCTAATTGTTGGAGAGGGCATGTTTTATTTCCCAGCTTTGCCAGCAGAGGATTACATGTTATGCAATTGCTGCAATTTAATTATAGTGTAGCAGAGGTTTTGATATCTGCCTTTAAATTATCCCAAGGGCATCTAGGAGGAATAGCCTACTTTGAATAAATCTTAATAAACATATGACTTTATGTTGCTGGCTTGTTTTGTTCTGAGTGTCATTTGTTCCTATTAACTGTATCATAGAAGTCAATACAGCTATTCCTGGAAACATGGCAATATCAAATGAGTAAGTATTTGTAGGATGGGCTCGGTATTGTCACTGCAACAATTGTCAGCTTCTCTCTTTTATTTGTGGAAGAGCGATGCATATGAATGTACCTTTATCTGGAAAGTTTTAGGCAATTCTAATAAAAGGAGATATGCATGAATTATCAGTACATGATGTTCTATTCACTAGAGGGAGAGTCATTTTAAAAAGCCTGTTAAGTGAGGCATGGTTGCTAAGTAAGGCAGGGGTTTTATTAGACCAACTGACGTAATGGAAAAAAGCAGACAAGATCTTGAGAGCACAAAGATCTCCTTTGGATGTGAAACAAATGGCAGACTGCACTAAGAATGGTTTCGGAACAATAGCTCTGAACTTAAGCTAAATACGTTAAATGGTGACGAAATATGAGAGGAAGGGGTAGCTGAGACGTGGGAAGAATTGTTAGGTAATGGAGATGACATGGGAACATGGAGCAAGGGTGGTTTCTGGAGGAATTTAAGGCTATTTGGAACTACAGTGCTACTGTCTTCTGTCTTGCTTCACGGTGTTGGCAACTGCAGTTAGGGCAAACTCAAGGAATGGCAAATACCGAGCAGGACAAACTCAAGGAATGGCAAATAAGGAACAGTATAAAAATGGATTGAGTGGAGGAGGCAGAATATGAAACAGTGTGGGAGGGATGTCCACTGAAAGTGTTCTGTAGGATGATAGAGAGGAGTTAGTTCCTCCAAAGCCTGGGAGAAATAGGCATTCAAGTTCAGGAAACAAGAATGCTGGTAGGGGGCTTTTTACAAAGTAATGTAGGGATAGGATAAGGGGGAATGCCTTTAAACTGAAAGACGGTAGATTTAAATTGGGTATTAGGAAGAAGTTCTTTGCTCTGAGGGCAGTGAGGCACTGGAACAAGTTGTTTAAGGCCAGGTTGGATGGGGCCTGAAGCAATCTGATCTAGTGGAAAGTGTCCCCACCCGTGGCAGGGAATTGGAACTGGATGAGCTTTAAGGTCCCTTCCAACCCAAACCATTCCGTGATTCTAAGAAATTAATTTTTGTCAGGATGCTTTCTAGTACTGATGTTTTTGTGCTGGTGAGGTAAGACAACCAGAGTATGTAGTTGTGAACCTTCTTTTTAGAACTTAGTTTAAGTAGGCTACCTGGAATTCCTTGGGGGGTGGTTGATTGATTTTTTTTTTTTAAATCTTTTTTTTTTTTTTCCTCTACTTAAGTGTCCTGCGTAAGTGTTCTTGTTGGGTGACGGTCCTTGTTATGTTGAGGTGGGTATCTTGGGTATTACCTTTAGCTGGGGAGAGCTGTACTACGTTTGGAGACCTGTGTGGGTTTCTCATTCTGTGTGTTATTTGCATGACTGGCGTCTGCAAGTACTGAGTGTCTTCTGCACAGTTCTGGGAATATTGTGGAGTGGACTTGATGTAGGCAGTCAGGGTTTCTTCTGAGTAGCTCAGCAGTAAAAATGACCACACCTACCATATTTTCCTGTGCTGCATGGGCTTAATTTAAACTATCTGAAGACCTGCAGATGACTTTTTTATTAGAAAGGCTGACTTGCATGGTGTTCAGGCATAATAGGGAGGTGTAAAGTACTTTGGGCCTCTGAGATAAAAAAAACACCATAAAGCTTGAAAGAGCTATTAGGAATATCCAGTGTAACTAATGGTAACCTTAACTGCCGGGTAGCTGTTGGGTCAGAAAAGTTATTTCTTATTAATGCAAAAAAACCTCTCCTGTCTTCCAGCACAGGCTCACATTCATACCCCTGATGACTGACAGAGGAAACCAGTGTGTTACTCTTTGTTACTTTCTGGCCTGAAGAGGGGTCCCAAATCTAAATATGGGGAAAGACTTCTCTGCTGGCCACTGTGACGCAATGTTATTTACCATTTACCAGAGGGGGTATGCAAGGACCCTGTTTTTAGCCCCCCTGTGCTTAAATTTGCAAAGCCTCACCAACTAGAACAGGCTGTCTTGGGGAATTCATGATTTAATTATGTTAACAATCTGTAGCCTACTAAAAATCACTGACTTTCGTTTCTGTTACAGAAGGCTCATGCCTTAAAAGATAACAACAAACCGCACCATGTTTGGTAGCTTTAGGTAGACCTTGCAAGTTTTATGCAGTTATTATCTGGCATACTGCATTTCCTAAATTACAGCATGGCAAAGAAATCATAATAATGCTGACAGAATTTTTGCAAAACCGTCAACACGTAATTTTTTATTTTTTATTTTTTTACCCTCTGTGTCTCCTGAAATCCTACTATTTTTCTAGCTAGGGCTAGGTAGCAGGATGAAGATTACATGCCATCCTACAAAGCAATGCTTTTATTTTGGTCTTCTTATTTTAGGAATAATCAGCAGAGAACAACACACTTCCTGTTACAAATTACATGTGCTTCCCTGAGGGGGCTGATAGCAGAGAGGGGCTCTTACAGAATATGAATTTGCCGTAACAAATAGTTTAGATTAGATAAATCTCATCTGCCCTTGAATCCAGTGTAAATCTTCCATTGACTTGTATGGAGCCTGAGTTTCATTGTATGTTTGTGTACTGTTTATAAGGCAGGCACTGTATTTTCATTGTGTATGTATGTTAGCTATTCAGTAGCTTTGGGCTGTGGAGGTCAGTGCCGATTGCTGTCAAGTCTTTGATTCCTGCCCTCATGTGTCAATTGAAATAGAGGCTGTTGCATGTACAAGACCTAGTGGTGGGACTTGCAGTGATCTTGGTGTAGGAAGAGCCTCTCAAGCTCCCTAGCCTCAATCATCTGCTCCTCAGCTTGTGAGGCACCATCCTTTGTCAGGCAGTACCTCATCTGAAAGAGATCAGTGTTTTTGAGGGACAGCAAAGAGCATCTGCTGGGTTGTCAGTCAAATCGTGCTTCAACACTTGAGCTCATTTTCTGGGAACAGCATACAGTTGTTTTTTGCTAGCTGGGGCATTCATGTAAAAATTGCCAGCAGGATTTTTTTGTGCTCATGACTTGTACAAGCAATACATTAATGAAATCTTGGTTTCATTAATACCTGTGGACCCTTTGCCATTCTGAAATCATTGGATCATGATTTGTCAGTTGTTCATTGGTACTGGATTTTTATCAAGGTGTCTGTTTGATCAGGTCAAGGTGAAAAAAGTCATAGAACTATTTTTTTTTAAATAGCAATTTAAAAACCTGTTTCAAATTTTATTAAATGTAAGACATGACATGATTTTATGTATTTCTCTAGAATTCTAAGTTTTGTGCTAGAAATAATAGAGTATATCTTTCTTTCCCTCAAGGCCAAATGTCTGTCCAGTGTTTGAGTTGGCGTTAGTAGGACACCCACAGCCATGTGTCCAAGCCTTTAGTCGAATGGTGAAGATGTGGAAACAAGGTTGCGCAAGGAGGAAGTGGTGTACTGGCTATGAGAGAAGGTAGTCCATTATCTATAATTATAAATTGATTCTGTTACTGAGCTTAATGCAAATTCTTTTTTTTTTTTTTTTTTGTGAGGGAAGTTGCAAAATACGTCATCAGAGATGTGATGTAGTTATGAATATAGTTGGTGTCCTGCTGAGGTTTTACTTTATCTGTTATTACTGAGTAGAAAATGCAGCTTTTTTGTTTTGTTTTGGGTGTGTCATGAACTTCTTGGCTAGCTTTAGATCACAATTATATATCACTGGAAAATGTTCCTGTCTTTTTCAGGTCAAGTCTAGCTGTGAAGTTATCTACTTTGAAAAAATGAACTTCTTTCTATTCTGTTATGCTTAGAACTGATGTTAGATCTGACTCCCCCAATGACTAAACCCCAAACTGATTAGAAAACAAAATTACTCACCTTTGACTAGCCTGAATACAAATTAATCAGAAAATATGTGCACATGACATAATAGAGCATTTGATGTTATTAGGATGCCTTTTTCTCTTTGTTCCATTTTTAACAATTCAGGGGCTGAAAAAAGGTATAGTAAATATTACATTAGTACATTTTATTCCTGATGAGATGTAAATAGCTGGAATAGAAGTTGAGTTCTCTTAAATTTACTCTCTTTAAAGGTCTGGGTACTACACAATTTACAAGCAGGTGTACAGACTGGAGCGTCAGACTGTCTATAAGTGCTGCCCTGGATGGGTCCAACATGACAATGAACCTGGCTGTTTGCACTGTAAGTTGATGGCAAAACCCTGACAAATCAAGAGAGATGGCATGCTTAGGTCTTACTTTTTCCTATGCTTAATTCTAGAAAGATGGGGTTTATTTCTTGCTATTTATAACTGGGATTTCCAGTTAAAAGGAGGCGCTCTATTGATGGGTAAGAAAACTTCATTTTAAAATACAAAAGCTGTCGTAGGCAGAAGTACCAAGTACCTCTAAACAGTGGAAACTGCATTTTTTATTACATTTGTTGCAGCATTTTTGTGCCAGCCTGACTTTGACAGGCCAACCAAATTTATTGCTATTACCCAAATTATGCAAAGAAATCTGCTATAAGCCATTTGTTTCTTGGATGTAGCACTCACTGCAGAGTCTAACTGGTTTTGGCTTTTTCACTGCTGCTGTTGCCATTGAAGCAATTGTGTTTCTACACTAGGGTCCTCCATCTGAGAACCTGTTTCTATCAGTAATTTTTAATCATGACTGGATGTTTTTCTGAAAGATGGAATTTAATTTAAATGATAAGGATGCAGTTTAGCCACTGTTAACAATGAGTGGAAGATAGCAATCTACTTGCTGTTTAGTTTGTTTCTGTTTTGTCAGTAATTGTATTTTCTGTTTGAAAGTTAGCATCTGTTCCTCTGTATCTTTTAATCTTCATACTAACTCAAGGGATACACTCGGAAAGCTTGCTTTTATGTTTGTCTCTTTGTTTTAAGAAAAAAGTCTAAGAGGTATTCCTGTTAGTTTCAGACTGAATCTACATATTTAGTGTGCACCTGTTTAGTTGTAAGAAGTCTGTAAGAGATGTTTACAATCTCTATTTTAATCTCTGGTGTAAAGGAGTTTTAAGTATTTGAACACCAATAGCAATATAAAATCATTTTTCTCCTGAAACAGCAGTGCAGGCTTGCTTTGAATTCTTTAAAGGCACAAAAGAGGTTGAATTAGTCTTTTATATTTGATACTCTTTGCAAGTTTGGTCAACTATGTTGAATTTAATTTATGGTAAATAAATAATGTTCAGTGTTGGAGGAAAGGAAATATTTTAATCCCCTTGGATATATATAACATCTTTTAGTACACCAGTGTTTCTTAACCATTGCTGCATTATTCTCTGGCAGTTCATGTCTTGTTTAATACTGGATTCAGGCATTGCTTTGAGTCCTAAGAAACTGTCTTTGGCCTCTGAAGCATACTCAGGTTAAAGTGCATTATCTTAGTCTTATTGCTCACTTAAAGTTAAATTTCTTCATATCAACGTGGTAGCTCCAACCATGATGATAATTTCTACTGCAGTCTAACCTCTCCACTTAAATAAAAAGCTGGGTTTCTTCTTATTTGGAAGGTCCTGTTACAGGAGGACTATGACAGGAAGAGGCAATTCTGGAAGACCCTTAGCACAAAAACCAGTAACACACCCACCCTCATTTCATTCTATTTGTGTATCCTAGTGCTGTGCACTGTTGGCACTTGTTTCAATGGAGGGAAGTGTTCGGAAGCAGGATCCCAGGTTTGCCAGTGTCCTGCAGGATTTCAGGGTCCTCGCTGCCAGTATGGTGAGTCAGACTAAATGTCTCAAATGCATCTGGTGCTTGGGTAAAAAGCATGCTTAACAATATTTGTTACAGCATGAACATTTTATTAATGTGGACTTAAAGTTGTCTTTGCACTCTAACTTGTTATTTCGTCATTCTCTTATTTTCCAGAATTTGCCTTGTTTGGTATTGAATTTTAACAAAGCAAGAAGAAAATTTAACTTGGTTGATATCAGATGAGTTTCTGTAGTGGATAATACCATTGAATATCAGCAGTGGTATCCAGTGGAATATCTTTCTATTGCTTCTGAACTTGGATGTTCTTGTTAAGTTTCTCTGCATTGCTTTTTACCTTTGTGAGAGTAAATTCTGAGACAAAACAGCTTGGACAGCAGGTAAAAAATGCAGCAAATGAGCTGAATGTATTTTTTCATTTTTTTTTTTTTGGTGCATCTGTAAGTAAGAAGGCTGATTTTGCAGATCAGTAGCATATATTTCCTAGTATTCTTGAAATAACTCATGCACCAATCTTTCATTTCAGTAACTGTGTGCTAGCTTATTATACTAAATTCTATGAACTTATACTATCACCCACTCGTGGTGGGAATCGTTCTCTCATAGCTGGTTCATAATCTAATAAGCCCACAATGGGTTGTCTTGTAATTTACGTGGAATAAGATGATCACACATTGTGTAAAGCTCTTTAAAATTACAGAACTGCATCCATTTGGCTTCTTATGGGAGGAGGAAAAAGTCATTCCTTCAGAGTAGGCTGTGACTGGGACAAAGGACTTCTTTTGTATTAGGCAAATGATAATTTCCTTTTCAACTGAAGCACATTGTGTTTCTTTCAAAGAAAGGTGGATTTTTGAATATTTAAGTCTTTCACTTTTAAATTCCCATATGTTCACATCCTTACCTGCCTCATCTGTCATGGAGTATAAGTTAGGAGGAATGTAACTGTTTACAACAATCCCTTTAAGAGCTGAAAAGCTAAGCTCTGTACTTGATATGTGGCTTCTGTCATGCTTGTTTCATAACCTTTGTCATATTCTGATCTCTGGCCTCCACCAAGTCTTATGTGATAGTGTGTGCTCACTGCACCAAAGCAGCTGCATCTGTATGGGTAGCAGCCTCCCTCAGTAAAGGTATAAAACAGCTGGAGTTGCAGCAGGCATGGAAGTGGGAAATGTAAAAAGTCAACAAATGTTGCAAAGGTTTCGTGGTTTATTTATTTATCTTATTTATTCATGCCTGATCATAGATGACATCTTTCACTGTAAGGAAGCATTTAAATAAAATGCAGAGCTCTTTACAAGCAAACTTATACTCACATCAGACCACTGTGTGCCAATATCTACCTTCAGACATGAGTTCAGTTGAGCACATTCTAAGGGAGATGGTGTAATTGTGCTTTTCTTTACTGCCCATAGAAACAAGCTTATGTATGTCACTTGATATGAACCAGAGTGACACCAATGCAGGTTACTTTGTTATTGATTTACAGTAAAGCTGCTGGTTCAAGGTAAGTAGGATCAGGATCTCTAAGGAGCCCATATAATAAGCTTCTGCCAAATACAATGTAAGTCTCAACAAATTCTAAAGAGTCTTTGCTAGTTTGAGTCTCCTGTTTCTTGCTAATACCTACAGCACTAAGGCATTTCTAAGAGGCAGCTTATGTGGGTGTGATGTGGATAACACAGGTCAGATTTTCAAACTGAAATGAGATTGTGTGGCCTCTACGTCACAGATTGGTGACTGCAGATACTAAAACCAGTGTGAGGTATCCTTGAAATTCTCGCTTTTTGCAGTTGGGTGGATTTTTATTTTTGTGGTTTGTCTCCTTTCTATTGATTCCTGAGGTTTGAATGGAATTTCAGTAGTCATAATTTTCAGGTTTATACAGTTGCTTCTATTGCAGTCTGTCAGGGATGAGTTGATTAAGTTCTGAAGGGAAAAACCTACTTTCATGGACAATTCACTTGCTTAAAAAAAACAAGGTAACTTTAGAGTGTAAGGCCTCTTTAACTGTTGCAGGCATCTCCAGTTAGATGTTGGTGAGGTTTGTATTGTATCTGTTCTAAGCAGAACTAAAGAAAATGTACTGAGGAATCAGAAGCTATAGACTCTTTTTCTGTCTGATGTTGGAATATAGCTCTTGTAAATTGGCTTGAATTTAATGTGACTGCATTACTTAGCAGTAATATCTTGAGCTTATAGACAGTTAAGTACAGTCTGTCCCCTCCTCCCCACTTGTCTGTTCAGCCTGACTGTAAATAAACTGTTTTCCTTCTAATATTTAACCCAAAGGAAAAGGAATCTCTCCTACCAGTGTCTTTTGCTTTGAGGAACAGGTGGGTGCCAGGAAAACCATGGTTTATAATCTTGGAACATGTGCTATAAAATATTAATAGAAAAGATTATACTATAATGTATGAAGCTGTCAGAGGGCACTGTGCTACAGAGGCAGACTTCTCCCTCTCAACTGCGTTCCTCAATTGAGTCTTTGGTAGGAATGTTCAGGTAGTCCTTTTGGGGGCTTTACAGGGAAAGGGAGGCTCTAACTGGATATGAGATCACAGACTTCTAGCCAAAAGCTGCTCATCAGGCATTCCTTGGTTGTAATCTTGGTTTCCATCGCTCTTGGTGTTGTGGCCTCCTGTTAGTCTCTTGGCAGAGGAGGAACCATAAGCATTTCCTAACTGTACATACATTCATTTGAGCAAAATTGTTCTTTGTATTACATTTTATAGCTCCCCTCTTGAAATTCTTTGCTTATCTTTATTATGTTTGTGTCATTCAGTAGTGACAGCTAATTCTGAAGTTTCACTTGTGAAGTGGCTCTCATTATCTCCCTGCTGGGCACTACGATCCACAGGCAATAGATAAGAAACTATTATAAAAATATTATTAAAGTCAGTTACTCTAAAAGGTAAATGGGAGCATACATTCCGAATCCAATTTTTTTTTCTGTTTGTCACCTTTATATTTGCCATAAAGTTAGTAGGTAGGCCAGCCTCCTGCAAATCAAGTTGCTACATGCTTTGTCCTGGTGTGTCCTGTGGAAAGCTTGATATGGATCATTGAGCATGACTTATAAGAGCCCAGTGCATCATAGCAATCTGCAGCTGAGGTAATTATTCACAATTGGCATGATTGCATCTAATGACTTTATCATGTCATGCTTTAGTAGCCTGCAGCACAATGTTATGAGTCCTGTTATGAACTTTAGGTAATTGTGACTAGAAACATATTGTTGCATTGCTTCCACGCTGTACTGCATAGTTTTATTATTTTACCCTCACAAGTAGCAAAAAAAGTTAGAAGAAAGATTTATGGGTGAAATGGTCGAGCTCTTCATATAGCCATTACAAGGGTTCAGTAACAGATTGAGCTGTCTCTTGCATTGCCTGCTGCCATTTGTCTTCTGATAATAGATTTATATCAATTACAATGTAAACTTGAAAGTTGTATTTCTTTCTGTATTTCTTTACTTGCTTGAGAATTGAGATTCCCATTTCTCTTGAGCCCAGTGAAGGGGAGGAAATACATGTAACAGAGAAGAGAAATGGTAAAACCCACTGCCAAGAATCAAATCTGCTGCAGTGCTGGTTTCATTGTTATTCGTTAGTTGTGCTGGTAATCTTATTCAAGGCCTGCTAGCCAGCTGAGCTGGACATCAAAGTAAATTAACTTCATTGAGCTTGTTTAATTTGGCCCTGAGACTTGTACTTGGATATGCAGCTAGTGAAAGTATGCCACGTTCTACAAACAAGAGTAGCTTTATTTATTCCTTGTATACATAAAGTTGTTCAATTTAAAATGAAGGGCTAGTTTTGATTCTTAAAATCAAACCTCAAGTTATTACAGGCTTTACCAAGTGCCTCCTGCTGCTTTTAATAGCTCAAGTAAAACCAAGAATGAGAACTGAATAGGCTTTAGAATTTCATGACTGAAACAAAATACCAGTGTTACAAAAGTTTTGTAAGAGGCTACCGTAATTAAGAAAGAGTAACTGCAACTGAATGTCTCTGAGATGAGTGTTATCAGAAGACAGATAAAAGTAGGTAAGGAATGACCAAGGCAGACTTGTCAGGGAAGTTATCTTACAATGACAGGATGCTTGTCATCTGAGCTTAATCATTTGAAGATAGCTGAACGCAGTATTCCAGTGTTTAACAGGTTATTGTCAATGTATTTCAGTTTTGCAATGTCGTGTTGGCTGTAATGCAGGTGGAATTTTAAATTAATTATCTTACAGTGCCTGATGTAGATGACTAAAGATTGCGTGCTTGGGAAGCTCTACATCTTGAGAGGCAGTGTAGTTTGCTGAATATAGTGCTTGCCTGATATTTGAGATAAGGGCTTTGCTTTTTGCTTGCCACTGACCTTGGATGTTAGTTCAGTAACTTTTAGCAAGTTATACTGCTATGCCTCAATTTCTTAGTATATGGAATGTTGATAATGATAGCTCATTCCTTTGTAAAGTGCTTTGAGACCTAAGTAATTAAGAATAAGGTAATAGCATTAGAATGTGTATATAGAGGCAAAATGCACAGTGAATGGGTAGCTAAAATGAAACGCTTACGAGATATTAATCAGTTCATTGACTAGCTGTCAATCTCTTCCTTACCTTTGGTCACATGCTATTAAGATGTTGAACTATATAAACGAAAATGTCAGCACCTCCTAATCCAAGTAGATCAGAGTTTAAATTACAGAACTACCTAAAGGTTTGGTTGTATTTTGTTTTTCTTGTTTGTGTGGTTTTGTTTGTGGGTTTTTTGGTTTTTTTTTATTAATTTTTTTTAACCATTGAGTCAAATGGCAGGCATTCAGATGGATCTTCTTGCAACTCAAAATACTCATTCACTGTGAAAAAGTTTTTTCAGTTTTCCTCTAGGAAATATTTTTCCTGCAAAGTCATTTGGTAGAACTTCTGATTATTGTTCTGACTGCCATTTTGATCTCATCTGGAGATGCATATTTTCTTCTTTGAGATGGAGACCTAGGTAAGCCTT